AAAGCCCTATTCAATGTTATAGCCCACGATTTTAGTCGGAGAAAAGAAGAAGGGTATAAGGTTGGTTGATTATTGCCTATGTAAATTTATGACGTGTCAAATGATTGTGTTGTGGCAAGTCATATAGATATTGCGTGACGATCACATATCTAAGTGTCTTGTGACAATGTACCATGTAATGAGATAAAAATAAACTAAATAAGTAATGAAAAGGCATGTTGTGTGTGCAAACATGTTTTAAGAATTTGATTTCATATGCATATGTTTTATTACTATTAATATATAATTGCATAGGGTAGGTTTTACTTTGGTTACTGAGTGGCTAGACTCACTCTTTCCATTTAACATTTTACAAGCTCTAGCTCTAGTGCAAAGAGGGAGAAGTCTTGAGAGGCTAGAAATTAGTTCATTCATATTGTATGCCTTTAGATTATATTTATTTTTGTGTAATAGAATCTTGTTGCCAATTCTAGGTTGCATTTCTAGTTACACTTGTACTAAGCGGTTATTTCATTATCTATATAGGTTATATATGTTAATAAGGCCAAAATACTAGTGCAAGTATAGAAATGATGTTTCAAATATGTTACAATAAGTTTTGATGCAATGCAAAGAAAATTACCTCCCCCTTCTATTTTAGGTGAAATAAGGATTGAGGAGTGATTTTATGTTATATTGGTATTTAAGTGTGTGTAACATGTTATACTAATAGTCCTAGGTCCAATGAATATGGTTTGGGTGTTAGGAATGACTATTGGCACTTGTTATGGGTTTGGGATACCTTTTGTTTGTGGAAAGTTGTAAAAAGTGGTGAAATTGTGTTTGGGTATCTAACTTCCTGGTGTGACTTGTTTTGGAAGTAAAACCCATGCCATTAGCTAGTATATAAAAAGATTTTTCAGTAGACACCTAATTATGTCATTCGGATGTCGGATGCAGATTTGAGGCACGTCGAAAGTTGCCCAATTCTGCTATCAAATGACAGTAGAATCTGTTGTCATTAATGTGCAACACGTTGTGGCATATTGGTGTGTGATACAAAGAGCAACATACTTCAGTGCATTGTGCACAAGCTATGGTGTATTGCCCTATTCTACAGCATATAAGTTGTTTTTTACTTGTTCTCTATTTCTTTCATTCCTCTAAGATATTCCAGGCTTCCATAACTTGTTTTTACTTTAATGTAAGAGATTATTATTGATTTAAACTCATTTTGATTATGAAAACTTAGGATCCCTTGATTTAAAAACTAAAACTTGATAATCCACTTAATGGGATAATCCTTTGATTACCATGAATTTTATTTCTTAATTATGTTTTATAGTAAAGGATTTGGCACCATTAAATTAGGAAATAGTTAAGGAGACAATTAAAGGATCATAAGAAACTTATAATCATGCCACCCTTGATCTCTTCACTAGAGTTTCATGCCTCCTTGCTTGTAAGAGGCTCTGTTTATAGTCTTCCTTGCATTAGGCTAGGGTTTACACCTCTTGGGCTTGACTCCTCATGGATTTGGATCTTAAATATATTATACATGCTTAGATGCTCTCCTATGGGCTTAAGAGGAGTGCCCCAATACTCTCCGAGCTGTTGGACTTCTTGTACAAGATTAAATAAGGCTTGCTTAATGGCTTTAATTCAAGCTCTTATCATTAGATCTCCAATATGTTGTAAAGGGTCTTTAGGCATGTTGGATTGGAAGTATTGGGCTCCTTGCTAGTTGCCTTGGGCTCCTTTCATGCCACCATACTCATGCTTGCCATCCTCAAGCTTCGTTGCCATTAATGCCATGTTATCTGTGCCATAGGGTCCATCGTATATGCAGATGCTGGTTAAGTTACATTAGGATATAAACACCTATCATCTGACTTTTTAGTGTTTTAGAGTAGAAAGAAAGAAGTAAACTTCAAGTTATAAAGGTTGAAATATTTTATAGGAAGCTAACATACACAAGGATGACTCATTAGTTATTACAGTGTCTTCAGTAAAAGATGAACAAATATTGGTAACTGTTACTATCAAATATAGGTAATTGTTTTATTGTTTTGAAGATATCTTCATGTGTTTCAACTCTTGTAAGAAGGATCACATTGATTTTTAAATGTGGTATGATTTTAACACTCATGCTAATTAAATTTAGCCTTATTATTTTTAAATCAATATATTTTATCTGAGACAATGTCACTCTAATGGTAGATTTCATTATTGAGAGTCTTACGTATTTCAATGTTGCCTATGTTTTTTTGGGTGATTCTATTCAAATTTTATTATTACATTAATTCATAGTTATAATGCAATATTAAAGGGTTAAGAGTGTACAAAAAAAGAATTTAAAACTCAATCTACCCAACCTAGCATGAGCTAGTCTGACTCGGTCTAAAAAAAGAACATGAAGAAAGAACTAGACTGATCGAGCTAGACTGGGTAAAACTAGGTTATAGACTGCTACTTGAGACTATAAGGTCTAACCAATCTAGGTGAATATATTTTTTAATATTAAATATATTATTTATAAAACCATAAAATGTAAAATAGTTTCAATCAGATTGAGAGCCATTCATTCTTATTTTCACTTTCCCTAATTTTGATCCTCATCATAGCACAACACGACCGTACGCGAGGCGAGAGTCTCTCCTTCATTTCATTCTTGTGCATCGTTGCGTTGCGTCTTCAGCCACCTGAGCAGCTGAATTGTAAGATTCGTCTGCTATGTGTATGTGTTTACTCCTCACTTCTCAGCAACTTTCCTTGTGTTCTCGCACAAAAGCACGTTGCAACGAAAGCCACTTCATGGTTTTGGTCTTTTGTTTTTCTTCTCCATCCTCTCAAAATATTTGACTAAGATAGTGTAATTTCTAGTTTTTCATCTCTCCGTTCTGGTTTTTCTGCTTCCTCTGCAATTGTGGTTTTTTGTTTTTTATCTCTAATTTCTAGGTTTTCATCTCTAATTTCTGGTTTTTCTATTTTTTGTCTCTACAATTGCTTCCTCTAGTTTAAAAAAATAGTTTTGTCACGCATCTTTCTTCCCAATATTTCATCCCAGACTAACCATCTCAATCACGCCTCATCCTTTTACTAGTAATGCCATAGAACTAGACTTTTCAATAGGCTAAGTTACTATTAAATCATCTTTGCACTTGCATCAAAGTAATTTTTTTTATCACGCATAGTTACAGTCAATGCATCTTTTTTTATCATCCTTTTACTATTAATGCCATTGGGCTAGATTCAGCTAGTTGAATAAATGTAGAGTGCATAAGTAGATTAGCACATAGATTTTAAAAATTTTGTATCAGCACCCGAGGAGTTATCCCTACGTTTAACAACATTAACCATCTAACATTTAAAACACAAGATAAAATATTAGCGATAAAGAATTCTCTAGTGGTGTGGTTTCTTTAAAAAAAAATCAATTGTATCAGAAAATAAAATATTACATTATATTTTATTTTATTTATATTACAGTGAAGATAATTTGAGGAAGATTTTCTTTATCTCCTATTAGAAGAAAATTACATATATTCATCATCCACAAAAAAAAATAGTCATAGTCCTTTATTTTTTTAAAAAAAAGTCACGATCTGATAAACTGGTCCAGTAATCAGATGGACCAAGTCCAACCTAGTCTAGGTATCGAGTTCCATAAGACTAGACCAGTCCTCAAACAAAAAATTCTAGTGCAGTCTCCATTTAAACTAGACTTCAGGTTGGCATCTAACCCAGTCTAGTCCGGTATTTGTGCAGCCCTACATGAACTATACATGAAAGGTAAAAAATGTCTTTAAATTTAACTAAACTGTACATCTTGCCATTTTTTTACCTTTAGTTGGCCATGAGTAGGCCCCATATTATATTTTTTTTTTATTATAAAATAGAATTAAGGGTCATTTTTGGCCCTAAACTGTACATAAAAGTTCAAAAATGACCTTAAACTCAACTTACGATCAATTTTATCCCTTAACCTTAAAATTTTGCATCCTTTTTGCCCTTGGCATTAATTATCCATTAGTGGGACCCACATGAATTTTTTAAACAATTTTTTAAATAATAAAATATAATAGTGGGACTTACTTAATATGTTTTTAATTATATTTTTTGAAGTTAAAGGTCTAAAATGTCCTTCAACTAAGTGTAAAGGATCAAAGTTACCCCTAAAGTTAAGAGAGGGTACGTTCTTGCAATGGTTGATAGAGTTCTAGCACCATTTTACAATGGCAAATTTGAGAGGCAAGGTTAGTAATTATGGAAGAAAAATTGGACTTGAAGCCATTGGATAGCCGTGGCATAAAGTTTAAGTTTTTGCAAGCTTGAATAGAGATTTACTCGGAGGTGTGGCCTAAACCTTGAGGAGACTTACTAAAAATATAAAAAAAAAATTGGTGGGCCCAATAAAAATATTAAAAAAATTAAATATGGGCCCCATTAAAGGTGAAATTTAACAATGTCAATGTAAATAATCATTATAAACAAAAAAAGATATTTTTAGATTTAATAAAAATAATAATAAATAACTAAAAAATATATAAAAATACAAAAATAAAATTTAATCCTTTTTAGGATTATATTTTCAAAATAAAAAAATAACTTTAATTGATAGGGTTTAATTTTAGTTTAGATAATCCTTTGTTGATTAGGAATTTATTTCTTTTAGTTCATTAAAAAAACTAAAAAAATATAAAAATAAAATTTAATCCTTTTTAGGATTATATCTTCAAAAAAAAATCTTGCTTAAGTCTTTGAAAAATCTCTCCCAAATTATCCCAACCATTCAAAATATTGGGAATCAACTTTTGAGAGTTAACTTTTTAAATCTTATTGTTTTTCATAAAAAATAAAATAAAATATACATGTATATATATATATATTCAAAAATTAAATTTTTCTCTCTCTCCCTTAATCTAATTAACACAAAAAAGGCAATAAAATAAAAAAAATAGAAATGGGGTAGGTGAAATTTTCACCCAGCCCAAAAACTGCTTTTGGTTGGACAGAAGGAACATAGAAGGAGATGAGACAATTGTAGAGTAGATCAGTGAGAGCAGAGGGAACCCAGACGTTCATGACAAGAGGAAGATTCCAAGCTTCAGTGATAAATCGATCTCTCACGCAAAGATTAGAGGAGACCAGGTATTTTACTTAGACTGGAGAACAAAAAAAGACAGAGAGCGAGAAAGAGACCGAGAGTCAAAGAAGGCTGAATCTGGGTTTTAAGAGAGGCTTTAAGAGAGAGATTGATAGTGATCTAGAGATAGAAGAAGAACCAAGAGTTGGGAGAGATTTTACTTCTATTTAGGGAGAGAATGTGAAAAAGATTTGGAGGAAGAAAGAGCAGAGGTTGGCGGTGGCAGAGACAAAATCAGATGCCATGAGAAGGCTGAATCTGGTGGATGAAATTTGACAGTAAGGAGTTTTGGTCTAGGAAAAGATCGATTAGATCTCTATTATCTTCTTTCATGTTTGGGCTTCGTCTCTAGTGTCCGTTTCTCTAGGCGAGTCATAATCATCAGCGAGGTACAAGATAGAGCCAGAGAAGGTTAGTTCAACGCTGGCTGGGGAAGAAGTTCGAGCTTGAGCAAGGCGGATTGGAAGGTGGTTTGAGTTTGAGGCATGAAAACTAGAGGGAGCGACAAATTAAAGGGCATCCGAGTTTGAAGCACATAGAACGATGGAAAGATTTGGCTTCGAATGAGTAATATTTTTGAATCTTTATTCTTCAAGGCTTAATATAATTTTAATTTCAAAATTTTCTGGATGAATTTACACTTAAGGATGATTCGACTCTTGTAATTTGTTTCCCTTTCATCTGGGATAATTTTAGAATTTTATTTGTTGCACAAACATGTTGGTTGGATGTTTGATCAAGTGTTTGAGTGATAGAATATTGTTTTGAAAGGAGTTCGTGGTGCATGGTTTGTTGATTGTGTGCTATTCTTGATTTCTTTTTTGTTAGCTCTTTCCTTAAGATGATTTTCTCCTCTTGAGTTGGTTCTATCAAGAGGAGATAGTAGGCTAAGGGTGTATCATTTACTCCAAATGAAGTACTTCACTTTCAAAATCACTTGTTCTCCTTCTTTATTTCATCTGCTAAAATTCAAGTTCAAATGGATTATAGTTTACTATAAGTGAGCTTCCCTCAAAGGTTTTATAGGGTTAGTACAAACAATAGAAGTGACAATGGAAGTTTTAAAATTTATGAATCTGGGATGAATTGTTTTGTGCGAGCAGGATAGAAAGTAATGCACTTCCCCCAATTTAAGCTCATTGAAATCCACTGTTGCATCATGAAGTTTGCCACTCTTATAGGTAGCTTGGTGGTCTTTTTGTGATGTCATATAATTATGGCCAAATGCATACATTCCCCTTGCTGCATTTTGAATGTTCCTTTTTATCAAATTTTAGTTCATGATTGCACTTAAATTTCATTAATGCTTTCACTTTGTGCTGTTTCAAATTATGAAAAATGCCTTCCTTAGTGAATGAATTAAATGATCATTAAAACGAAATTTGCAGCACTGTGCGCACATGTTTATGTACCAAATTCTGACCCTATTCGTTACAGTGTTTATGGGCAAGATCAGAAGCTGCATAGAGCTGTGGAGATGTTCAAAAAGGCTTGTGCATTGCTTGTGACTTTGGATGAAAAAACATACATGAATTTGATTGGCTATTACGGGAAGGCTGGTAGTGGGCTAATATGATTTTCATGATTTTTTTCTCAAATCATATTATAATATCTAATATCTAATATTATTGATATAGAATGTAGGTAGTTTTAGGAAGACATCTTTTTTTTTTTTTGGTTATTTGTTCTTCAAACACAGTGATGAATATAAATCTATAGAGTAATGGTTAGTGATTAGCCAACAAACCATTGCTTCAGTTAGTGGCGGAGCCAGGATCTTATGTTAAGGGGTGCAAATTAATTTTAAAAATAATAATTTAGAAAGAATTATTTAATATTTTTTTAAAATAATCATACAATTTATAATTGTCCCCTACTTATTGTCAAATGCTATTAAAAATATTTCCTTTCATATAAGTCACTAATTTATGATATTATTTATATATAAAAATATATAATAATTAATTAGAGATTTAAAAAAATTAAATAAATAAGAATATTCTTTTAAAAAAATTATATTAGAGTTTTGGACTTAGTGAATTCATAATTGGGCTTAAGTTAAAACATTTACAAAAAAAAAAAAAGCGATTCAGTAGGGGTTTGAAATTTTGTGGCTAAAAAAAAGTAAATTAACAAAATATCTACTTTTCATTTATAATTTCCTCCAAGTTGAGGGGTACATATGCCTCCCCTCAAGTGTATGTGGCTCCACCACTGGCTTCAGTGGCACTAGTCAACTGGCGACAGATCCCTGCTGTGTTTCTGCAGTGCTAATGTACAAGGGTCGAAAATAGGGAAAAAAGAAGGAAAAACAAAATTACTTTGATGTGGTTGGTAATTTCTACATGCTGTAATCAAATTCTGCTTTATTTATTTATTTTTATAGGTATGATACATGATGGTTTGCTGCTTTTCAATAAAATGCAGGAAGAAGGCATAAAACCTGGAAAGGTAAAGTTGCTAGGTTTATTCTAATTTCACAAGAGCATATATTGGCAATTATCTTATAGAGAACTGTCAAAAGTCCGCCTAGTTTAATAGCCTGAGAAGTTAAGTAAAAACTCCAGGTTTGTCTTTTGGAATTATATATCTTCTGTGTTTTGTTTACGTTTGGTTTACTCAAGATTTAGACAATTTCTTTAGGATTCCTTTTGTTACTTTTCTCAAGATTTTGGAATTTCTTATTCAATGTACTAACTTTAGGATCCCTGTATAGAGCTGGTGTTGCAATCACATATTGTAAGAGCTCTGTGTTGCAATTACATAATGTGAGGAAAAGGATTATGTGGATCTGTAATATTACATTTACTATGTTTGAGATGTAGCACAATTTAAATTTTATGTTCTTTATATATTGTAATTTTGAGATTACAAGTGTCCTAATGTGATTTCTTGCATTTACTGGGGAAATGCAGATCAGCTATAATATTATGCTCAATGTATACGCTAATGCGGGCTTCCTTATGAAGCAGAGGAACTTTTCCAAGCTATGCAAAGACAAGGCTGTTCACCTGACATTCTCACCTATCTTTCCCTTATTCGTGCATACACAGAGTCTGAAATACTCTGAAGCTGATATAACCATTAATGCTATGCAGAGCAGAGGCATGTTGCCGTCCTGTGCCCATTTTAACATTTTACTCTCTGCATTCATGAAAGCAGGGCTTATTGACGAAGCCAACAGGGTGTATAAGAGACTATCCTCTTTTGGTCTAACTCCTGATCGAATATGTTTTCGAACAATGCTGAAAGGTTACCTGGAACATGGACGTGTGTGCAAGAAGTTATTAACTTCTTTGAAAGTATAAGCAACTCGATAAAAGCGGACAGGTTCATCATGAGTGGTGCTGTACATTTGTACAAATCTGCTGGGAAAGAAAACAAAGCTGAAGAAATATTGCATTCAATGGACAACATGGGGATCCCATTCCTGAGGAAACTTGAAGTGGGTCAAGGCCAAAAACTACATAAGAAAAAGCGCCATTTAAGTAATGCATGTGTAGAATATGGCTAATGGAACAACCAAGTACTTTCTCCAGGCACCGCGTGGTTTATTGAGAAGAGAGATAGAGTGGTGTTAGGTGTGGCTCAGTACCTTATATCTGTACAGTGAATTTACACCTTTGGTCCTTTTGTGGATCCCAATCTACCCTGCTGCTTTGGTTTCCCCTATTGTCTTGACATTTTTAAGCCTGATAAGGGTTCTACTTCAGAAGGCGGATAGGGTTAGAGGATGGTGCCATTGTAGTAATGGATGAGGATCAGGGATCTTGGGATTTTTTCTGGGGATTAAGGACTTCCTCTACGTCATCAAGATTCTCCTTTCCATTTTGTAGAGCAGAGGAAGAGTTTGAACGACGCATTGATGGAAGAGGAAGTGGAGAAAATGACAGGTTAATATAGCTCTATCTGATAGGAAGTATGGGAAGGCATATTATAGGAAGAAATGAACTTGATTGCTATTGCTTTTTATTCTTTTAATCATTTATGTAAAGTTTGTAAGCTTTCCTTCCTCAGGAGGAAAAGACAAGTAGCTTATTTCTTTTTTTTTTATTTTGTCTTGCTTTTACATTATACTTATGCTGTAAATGGTTGGTTATGTTTCCTTGAAAAGTAAACCATGGTCTATAAATAAAGCATAGACTGTACGTGTAAGGAGCAAGTTATTGATGAATGAAATAGTTTGAATGGCATTCTGAAGGGTTCATTTTTTTCACACCTCTTACTCATGCTTTTCAGCATAATAGACACATGCGGCATAGTCGGAAGGCAAGCCTTCTAAGTGTAAATTATAAGGGGTTCATTTTTTCACTCCTCTTATTCTTTTCAAAATCATCTTGTCTAATGTTTTTCCAAGTGAAAGTCGCAATAATCTTTTCTTGCACAATTTTGATTGAATTTATACTTACATGTGACGCATTCTTTTTAGTGAGAATGATAATTAGTTTTCAAAATATTGAATTAATGATAATTAAGTTCTCAATGACTTTGTTTGAAAAATAAGTGAAAAATATTGATTTAGATAATTATAAATTTGAGAGTTTTAATTGAAAATAAGTATTTAAGTATCAATGTAACTCTTAGAGTGTAATAAGAATTTTTATTTGTAATTATCTGAATTGATATTTACAATTTTTTTAAAAGATTTTACTGAGAACGTAATCGTCTCTCTCTCTCTCTCTCTCTCTCTCTCTCTCTCTCTCTCTCTCTCTCTCTCTCTCTCTCTCTCTCTCTCTCTCTCTCTCTCTCTCTCTCTAGCATGTGATGGATTTCATGAACATGGATTGATCATTAAAGGTTTCAAAAGCTAACTTTTTATAAGTTAAAATATATATATATATATATATATATCTTATTGCCCTTTTCAAACTTAGTGACATAATTTGTAATTGGGAAAATATAAGTTTAGGTCTTTACATTTTGTTTGAGTTTTGCTATTAGTTCATGTACTTTTTTTTAGCATTTTAGGTCACTACACTTCTGTTTTTTATTGTTTTAGGTCCCTCCAAAGTCCCTACACTTTGTTCATTAAGGGACTTAAAACGATAAAAAACAAAAGTGTAGGAACCTGAAACACCGAAAAAAAGTGCAGGGATTAATAGCAAAATTTGAACAAAGTGCAGTGACCCAAATTTTATTTTCCCTTTACAATTTTATAATTATCTTTTAATTTTTTGTAACAGATAATTTCTTTTACGAAAATTTGATATTTTTCTTCAATCGGTTATTACAAATGTCATGATTAAATGATCTGTCCCTATAGTTTCCTTTTTTATGAAAATATTTTTAATCATATATGTAAAGTTTGTAAGCTTTACTTCCTTAGGAGGAAAAGACAAATAGTTTTTAGTTTGAAAAAAATATTTTAGGGATAAATTTTTTTCTTATTTGTTCTTTTGTTAAACACACACACACACATATATAAGTGGGAAGGTTAGAGATAATAAATACTATACTAGAGTTACACAATATTACATTATTTAACACTCCTCTCAAGATGGAGAGTGGATATTACCTATTTCCAGCTTGCACGCTAAGCCCTAAAAATTTTTCACTACAAAATTCATTTGTGAAAATATCTTCCAATTAATCTCTTGAAGTAATGAAGGGAGTGCAAGTTAAACCACTCTAATTTTTCTTTTATAAAATGTCAGTCAATTTTAACATACTTTGATTGATCATGTTGAATAGGATTGTAAGCGATGTTAATAGCTATCTTAAATAACAAGTACTTCTACAAATTTATTTATAAGTGAAGTCCAACTACTAAAAATCAATAACCAGTTAAGATGGGAAAATACTACTTTATTTTAGAAAATGACTAAAGCTGAATAACAAATAAAAATTAAGTCTACAAAGTTATTTATTAATAAAATCCAACTACTAAAAATCAATGACAAATTAATTAAGATTGAAAATAACTACTTTGTCAGGAGAAATGATTAAATGTCAATTAGGTAGTTGTCATTTGCTAAGTTTTTTTTTTTTTTAAGTCATTAATACAATAGAAGTTGTCATTTTCCTAACTTAAAATAGCCATTGAACTCGTGAGACTCTTTGACTTCAACACTGATTAACTAATTAACCATTAATTGATACCAAGCAAAATCGATGCTCGTATGTGACCAGTGCAAAAGCTTCCTTTTAGACAGGAGTATTCAACTTATACTCATTTTAATCGAGTCAGTTTCATTCAGGCCCATAAACAATTGGGATGGAATTCTGTGGGACGAGATAGGAATGGGATTTGAAACAGGATGGGACATTGAATTGCTCTCGGGATGTCTATACATATATATATATATATATATTATTTTTATTTTAAAATATATATTAAATATATTAATTATATTAATATAATTTATACTTATATTAATTATAATTTCAATACGTGCAATTCTTATTTAAAACTAAAAGTTTTTTACATTGATAATTTTAATGATACCGAGTAAGCAGTACAGGGTAATATATCTCAACAAAAGAAGAAAAATAATGATTTGAAATTATGTTTATCTTGTCTGTTGTTGTTGCTCTTAATCCTAGAGATTACTTGTAATTACTATTATAATGTATTATGTCTCATATATACTTGACTTTAAATTGTATGTTTGCAATTGTAAATGATATAATTTAATAATTGACTTTAAATTATTGTAATTTATGTACTTGTGGTGTTTTAGTTTTAAACTTAATAACTTATGGGATTTAAAATTTTAATTAATGAATGTTATTATTTAAGTCTTTTTCTCACATTATCCATTTTATCAGGATGGCAGGTTGTCTCAACCTCATCCTGAGATGGAATAACTTTCAAAATGGGATGGGATATGGGAGAAAATTTTAGTCCTAATTTTTTTTAGGATGGGACATGGGATAGGACATCTCGATCCTGTCTTGTTCCATGAAGACCCTACTCTCAGGTGATCATAAATAACAAAAACGAAAGGGACCAGAGGGAGCTGTGAACTTAAGATTGTTAGTTCTAAATCTGATCGTTTTTGCAAAATGGATTAAGCAGGATATGGGGGAAAATACTCGAAAACCACTTGTGGAAGACAACACAAAACATGACATATGAACACCAAAATAAATGAGATTGGAAACTTGTACAATTCCTGCTTCAATCCGATTATAATAAAAAGGAACCCATCCAAGTACGATCCGCAAAAACAAGTGAAGATAAAACACGACGAAGTATACCTAAAACTTTAATTTAAAAAAAAAAAAAAAAGCACGGATTGGGAGCATGGATGTATCTGAAAAAGCAGGCGGCGTAGGATTTTTGTGACGACAATTACTAAGCAAAAGGGTTAGAGAGATAACTCTACAAAAATTAATCATACCAAAGAAGGCCATGGAAAGTGCAAAAAGAATTTCCACATTTGGCAATCCTCTTTCATCACTGGAAAAAAAACTCCAAAGTCTCTCATGAAAAATTCTAAATAATCTAAAGTCTCGTGAAGTGGACAAATTATCCCCTAGTCTCAAATATTTTATTTTAAATATATTTTATATTAGTTTACTAAAATACCCTTAAACAATTTTTGATCATGAGTTGGCCATGGGAGGATTTGAACGTAAAATATATTTTAAATAACTAGAGATGTATATGAAGAGCATCATTTGGGAGAAGACAACGCCTTAAATGATGTTTAGATTTCTCAAAGGATTAATCTCATGGCCACAAGTTGGGGAGATATCATGACAAACCAAAAATTTTATATTTAAATATATTTTAATAATTAAATATAAAATATATTCAAAATAAAAGATTTGGAAATTGGGGTAATTTGTCTATTTCATGAGACTTTAAGATATTTAGAAGGGAAAATTTCGCTGGACTAATAACAAAAATTAAAAGGATATTATATCTTTTGGTGTAAAATAGGAAGAAAAAAGAAATGCGGTTTTAAATAGTGGATCAATTCACTAGTTTGTTTTGTTCAATAAAAACCAGATTTAGACAAATTCATGTTTATTTGGTTTGGATTTTGGAAAACCTAAGTCATGTAACCTGGACTTTTATGCTCTGCAGATGTTTTTGTTTTTGGGGTCTGCGAGGAGCTCAATTTTTCATTGTTTAAACGTGTATTTTGGACTTTTGACGTCATTGAGTTTTTCAAAATTTAACCATATTTTTATTCCATTCTTAGTTTCTTTTTTAATAACCAAATATATATATATATATATCCTTCATGCCTATTCTTTTCCATCTTACCAAACATTCTTTGAGTCACAATGTTACCTCATGTCATTCTTTTTTCTTTTTCTTCACTTCCCTTTCCATTAGACTCCTTTCTTACAACCTAAGGGATCCTAATAGTTGCTGAGCATCCCAGAAGCACTTGTACCAGACAAACAGTGAGCTTGCTTTTACAGTAGAGATATGTTACTTTTACAGCAGGTAATGTTTGGAAGAAAATAAGCCAGATATTAGCTACGTTTTACTTGTGGAATTAATGTACATAGTCTTGAATTTAAGTTTTGTTATTAAGTGCTGAATTCAACCTGGTTGAAGTGCTTTAGAGGAGACTTTACTTGTTACGCTAGTGCTGCATTGGGTTATCATGAGCATTATGTAAAAATGGATAGGAGCACTAGTTGAAAAAAAACCTGCATATATGGTTTTCTCTCATCAGGCTCAGTGTGGAACAAGAATAATTTCCTTAGGTCAGGATGTTGAAAAAATGGGATGGCATCCATCTGTCATCTATTTCACAATGCAGACACTTTCTGTTTTTTCTTTTTTTCTGCTTTTTGCCCCTCTTGTCTTATGTTGTCAGTTAAGTTTAACTTGGTTCAATGGTTTTTATGACGGTCATTATTATTCATTTTGGAAAAGACAGCCAATCGCCAATGTTTAACATTGTCAAATTTTGTGGGATCTTTGCTGCTGTGCAAGCCAATTTTCCACCATTATTAATCCCATATGCTGCATTGAGAATTTGTCATTGTGAGACAACAGTGGGTCAAAATGCTTTGGTTAATAATTTGAAATTGTCACCGACCAGCATGCAAAGTAGAGTTGGAATTTTTTGGGATTTAGACAACAAACCACCCAAGTCATTGCCACATTATGAAGCTGCCACTAAGCTGAAAGCAAGTGCATCTCACTTTGGTGTTTTTAAGCATATGGTGGCTTATGCAAATCATCATACCTTTAGCCATGTCCCTCAAAATGTTAGGGAACAAAGAAAAGAAAGGAAATTATTGAATAA